TAGCGGGGCAGGGGGCACGGCGCGGGCGCTCCCGGGACGACTCGGGCGCGTCTCTCCGGCCGCTTCCCTCGAAATGGCAACGCCGTTTCCAGAAAAGCGCCCGGCCGTGACCCGGCCACGCCACCTCTCCGCCGCCTTTGGAGCCACCCGATCGGTGCTTCAGCCTCCCCCAGGCGAGGACAGGCCGCTCCAAATTGCTCTGCCTCTCCACCGTCCTCTTTTCCATAGACTTTCCTGCACGGCGATCGCTTCGTGGGAAGCCGTGGCGGGTCGGTGAAGTGGAAACCAGAGCCAGGGGACGCGGCGCCTCCTCGCACGGGCGCCCCGCTCGCCTTCGCTTTCCCCGCATCTTCCAGCGCACGCTGCGACTCCGTCTTCCGTAGCCGAGCCGAACCGAGCCGAGCGACGCGCCGTCGCGGGCGCGCGATCCGCTTCGCTTTGCTTTCAGTTTTTATTCCGATTTCATCCCCTTCCAGTGAGTGACAAGCGATTGTTTGTTTAACCGGGAAGTTACAACCGGGGGAGGGGGAGGCCGAAGCGGAGAGGAGGGAAACCGAGGAACGCGCTCCGAAGTTCGCCCGGGTCCACCCAAAAGCTGATGGCGGCGCGCGGCGGGGTGGCGGGGTAGCTTTACACCCAGATTAGTTCGCGGGATGTATGCGTGGCAGGTCAAGCTGCGATCCTGCCGCGATATAAGGCAACCGTGCAAGGAGATCCAGACGTAGGGGGAGGCGGGGGCGGGAAGGACGAAGAAGGAAAGAGAAAGAAATGAAATACCACGAGCGCACATCGGCCGGCGCGCCAAAGCGAAAGAAGTCCGCCTCGGCGCTTCTAAAAAGGAAGTAAAAACAACGGGGGTGGCGGAGGGAGAGACTGGGGCACCTTTGAGATCAACGCGAAGTTGCCGCACGGCAAGCTTTTGCGGACGACCGTCAGTGCAACGGGGATGCTTTGAACGGCCCAAAGAGGTAACCGGCTTAATGAGTTGGCCTAAATGGCCGCCTTTAAACCAACTTCGACTCTGATTCAGAAAACCTCCGGTGTTTCTGAAAAGAAAGCGAAGCCTTGAAACGAAAGCGAGTTCGGTCGAGAGCTACTCTGCACGCGTCCCTGGTGGGAAATAACGCGATCCTGAACGCGTTGGTTTGGAAGTGTGCAAAGCGGCAAACCAGTTGGGTTTCCTAGTTTGGGTCAGAGGAAATGCTGAGATCGAGCAACCGCAGCGGTTGAAATCAGGAAGCGTTTATCTTAGCCTCCTGGGTCCGCAAACCTGCTAACCGGGCGACCTGAACTGTACCTGGTCGTTCGTAGCTCTCGGAGTAGCCAGATTCTAATGTACTTTCTTTTCACCTGCAAATGTACTTTCTTTTCACCTTTCTCCAGTTTTCGTGGAGAACTGTTTTGGGATCAGGTAACAATTCTCGCCCTTCAGTGGCCCACCATAGATTGTCTTACGGTAAGCGAGCTCTTAACTTCTCCCGAGGAGAAACTCTGCCTTGGAAAACAGCAACAGCGACAGTAGATATACACCAGCCCGCCTAGTCCTCGGAGATCTCTCTCGTGTCTGCTTCAGGAATGGCAACTCGGTCGCGCCCGCTAGAAGTACTCGCTTTTCTCGAAAGCCTTGAGCAGCCCCCACCAGAGACCCGGCACTTTAGAGGGACCCTCGCACGGGCTCTCCAAGCCTCTGCCCACAGTTTGGTTTTCAACCATTTCTGCAGCTAGACTGGCGCTGCTTATCGAACCGTTCGGCGTGCCACGAATCTTTCGCCCGCTCCCGTTTCGTGCCTTCAGCGCCCAAGAGCGTGGCATGCGCACGCACTTTGGTCAGACGATCTTGACTTGACGCCTCTCTTTCTCGTATGCAAACTGCCTCCTAAAGTGGTGCGATGACTCGGATCGAGGCGCTGCGCGAAGCGCGCAAGCGACCAAAGGGTCACGCCGCGAGCGCTGGGACGGGGCTGCCTCGAGAAGCAGGACGCGGGGCAGCCCGGGACCTGGATGAAGACTGTGATCGTGGGAATGGCTCCACCACCCTTTCAGTTTAACATTTCGGATAGCCGCCTGTCCTTCGAATGATTACTTTCCTCCTACATCAAAGCCTATTACGGATGCCTTGGGGCCAGCTTTTTTGCGGGGTGGAGTGGGGAAGACACGGAATTGACGAAATCTAATTCATTAGCAAATATTAAGGGAAAGATTCTGGGGAAAGTGTGAAGAAGGTGCCTTGGGATTTTCTAAACTAGCACTTGGATATATTTTTAAGATATCCAGCGTGTCAGGGCACAAGGAAATATTACTGTACCTTTCTTGTTAGGATAATAAAATACATTAATTTTAGTATTTAGACAACACGTCTTTCTCTTCGTACAGGTACTCTTTAGTCTTTGTATAACCCAGGCTGCAGCCGTACGCATGCTTCTGCGAGAGAAATCCCACTGAACTCAATGTGGCTTACTTCTGGGTAAATATGTATAGGACTGCAAGGCAAATGGCTTTCTCTGGTCTTGGGCCTGAGGAAATGGCCTCTGCCCTCAAGGAGCTTCCATTCATGAAAGGTCGATTCAGGCATGCCCCTCATAACCTTAACTTAGATTTAAACAGATCCAGCACCATAGAGCAGAATGAAATTTCCTTCAGACTCTCAACTACTGATTACCAGAGGCCTGGACCAAAATGTAAAATAAGAGGGAGGGAGGAGCAAGGTGAACGAAGAGAGATTAAAATTTATGATCTCTTTCCCATCTTTTTTACTGTGCTTTGCAGCTTGTCCATCCTAAGAGAGAAGGCATGAAAGTCGGATTCCTATATCAGCCACATTAAGAAGAGTTTTATCTTGTCGGGTTTTCCGTCTTCCTTTCGTTGAAAGGAAGAAAGAAAACAATTTGTTCCTTATAAACAGCTCCTAATGGCTTGTTTTCGTTTCACGCCAACAATTTCCTACCTTCTTTGATGGAGGGCTGGCGGGTGAATATTCTAATCTGATTCACTTCGCCTCCTGTGGATTCCCAGAGACGGCCGTGACAGACCCAGGCGTCTGCAAATCACAAGGACCGGGCTGCCAGGAGAGACGGCCGGCCATCGTAATAAACAAGCATTTTTAAAGGGACTTAGGCAGACTCCCCCTTCAATACAAATATAAAATATGATAGTCCACATCAGCATCACAAGGTATATGAACCTGGGTTGTAGGAGCAGAAAGAGGGAATGGAGGTCGTTCTCATCCGTGAAAAATAATTTTAAGAAGTAGAAACCCCTCCATATTTTCGTCTGAAATCTAATTCGAATTCAAACAGCTTCCCCAAGAGGTCTGTTTCAGGAGTGTAAAACCTTGCCATTAATTTCCATCTCTTCCCTGAAACTTTAAACCTGCGTTAAAAGAAACTCGGAGGAATTCCTACTTCTTACTGATACTACACCAGCTCGAAGGTAATCGTGATTCTTCGGACTTACAGGCAACTTAAATAACTGGTTCTATACACCGAGGGCCAAATCGAGACCAAACGACGCACAATTAACCCCTGCTGGTTTCCGATGGGAGAGTTGGTGCATTTGGTTCGATAGGCTCGCCACACTCCCGGAAATCCAAGTGATTCCGAGGAGCAGGATCGTGCCCACTCCTTTATTTGCGGTGGACTTGACTTCCAGGGAATATACTTAGCGGGACTCTCTTAGAGGCTGAAAAGAACCCTAAAGGAGTTTGTTTCTGTGCAGATGTGTGTGTGCCCACGCAAGTACGTATGCAGGAATTTGTATCTAATGGTGCGTGTATGTGCACATGCATGATTTCATTCCACCGGTAAAGAGGCTTCGAATTTTTGCCAGCCGCGTCGCCCTGAAGCCTCGGGGACCAAATCTTTCCAAGATCCGAAGCGCAACAATCCTCGCTGGAAGGCTCAGTGGCCCAGCCTCCCAAATCAACAGGTTCGGGAGTAGAAGTGGGTGGGCAGGGAGAGGCAACCGCCACCTCCGAGGGCGATTAAAGCTGCGATCCTGAGGGCGCTTTTCTGGGAGCCGGTCCCAGTGGCCTCGCGCAGGATCGGGCAGCAGCACCGCGCGCCGCCTCCAGAGCAAGGAACAAGCCTTCTTTCCCCTTTCTCCTCGCCCGCTCCAATCCTCTCAGGAAGTCAGGGATCGCATCTACTCCGACCCCAAACGCATTTACTCGAGGAAAGACCCCAGATGGCTTTCCCAGCCAGCTCACTTTCGGATCGGGACGTGGCCCGGGACACGGGAAACTGCGGGCCATCCGAGAAGAGAAGCGCCGCTGGGCGGGATGCGGGGCGGAGAGAAGACGGGGAGTTGTTGGTGTTAACTGATTTCTCTGCAATAACATTAACCGGATTAACCCGGCCAACAATTAACGAGGGAGGGCGGGAAGTGGGGAGGGAGATCCACCCTAAGTCGTGGCAGAGGAGGAAGAGGCGGGGGGAGTTCACGAAAGGAGAGAAAGAAATCCCACTAATGGAAGGGATTACGTTAATTTCGTTAATTCTTAATACACAGAGACCCGCGCCTCTCGTCTCTCCTCCTCCGGACGCGCCCGCCCCCCAGCTCCACCTCCTCCGCCAGGCCCGCTGACACACACACAAAAGAAGGAGCGAAATCTGGTTTCATTTGTGATCTGATACATAACCGGGAACTCAATCCAGGATGACGTCGCCCGGGTATAAAAACGGAGCGAGGTTGGGGCGCATGAGAGACTCCACGCAGCTCAGCTCGGAGGAGGAAACGGACGAGCGGGGAAGGCGGCGAGGAGGAGGAGGAGGAGGAGTGGGGGGGGCGACCCGGCCGCGCCAAGGAAGGACCTTCTCCCCCGCGGAGAGAAGCCACCGGCGCGCAGGGCCCCGCTCCGCCGCCGGCTCCGCCAGCCCCGGGCAGCCGCGCGCCCCCGCGCCACGCGCGCCGCCGCAGCCGCCGTCCCGCTGCCGCTGCCGCTGCCGCTCTCCCTCCTGCCCCCGCGAGCAGGGGCCCGCTTCGGCGCCCGCCCGGCCCGGGGGATGCCTGCGGGCATGTTCAGCATCGACAACATCCTGGCGGCCAGGCCCCGCGGCAAGGAGTCGGTGCTGCTGCCGCACCATCCCTCGCAGCCGCCGCCGCCGCCGCCGCCGCAGCCCCAGCAGCCGCCGCAGCCGCAGCACGGGGCGCCCGTGGTCTTCTCGGCGGGCCTGCACGGCGGCGACTCGCTCTACGCCTCGGCCGGCAGCGGCGGCGGCGGCGGCGGCGGCGACTATGGCGGATATTACGCGCGGGCCGTGGCGCCGGCGTCCAACTTGCCCGCCCTCGGAGGAGCGCGGCTGGGCGGCTACGGCAACTATTACTACGGGCAGCTGCACGTCCAGGCGTCGGCCGTGGGGCCCGCGTGCTGCGGGGCCGTGCAGACCCTGGGCGCTCAGCCGTGCGCCTGCGTCCCCGCCACAGGTAAGGCGCCCGGGAGGAAGCCCCTCGCCCCCGCCGCGCCGTCCGCCCCTTGCGCCGCGGTCACCCGGGTGGGACTCGCGGAATGCTGCTCAGGAGGGCGCGCAGGCGAAGGAACCGAGCTGGCTTGGCGCAACGGGTGCTCGGGATCGCGGTCCTCCTGGGAAAGAAGGGGGTGGGCGGGGCGGCTCTGGCGGGGCAGCGTGGCTCGTGTCCACGGCTCTGCTTAGAGTAGACCTCTCGGCAAGGAAGCTAGCCGTGGCTTCCTTAATTCCCACCCGTTCCGAAGGGTCAGCTCCAAGGACTAGTCTTGGGCAGGACCCCTGATTCTTCCCTCCCCCGCGTCCCGCATCGAGCAACGAACAGCCGCTCGTTCCCCGGAGAGCAGCGGGACTCTTCCCGGCCACGTCGTTTCGGAGCGAGCCGTCGCGATCCACGCCAGGGCGTGACGGGCCGCGGGCGAGCAGCAGAGCGCCGGCAGACGATTCCCTCGCCTTGGCTGCAGGGGGGACCCCGTGCGATCTGAGCCCCTCATTGTGAGAAGTGAGGGCGGGTTTCTGAAACTGAGCTTCCCCGAATTCTTTCACCTGCCATCCTCGAAGGGACGCTCGTCTTGCTTAGCGTTGTTATGCTAGTCGCGAAGTCGTGCCCGACCCAGCGCGGCCCCATGCACGACATTCCTCCAGGCTCTCCTGTCCTCCACCATCCCCCGGAGTCCACTCAGGCTCATGCCGACTGCTTCAGTGACTCCATCCGGCCACCTCATCCTCTGCCGTCTCCTCCTTCTTTTGCCGCCAATCGTTCCCAGCATTAGGCTCTTCTTGCTTAGAGTAGACCCCTTGAAATGAATGGGGATTAAATCAAACTAACACTGGATGCAGCCCCTATCCTTTTCGACCGCTATCCCAACTACGCATCACACGCTCTTCCTTGGAATATTACTGGGCACAGATAGGTTAAGACTGAGGGAGGCGTCTGCCCAAACGCGCACTTGTCTGGCAGCAAATCCTGCTAGAGGAACTGGCCGACTTTTGGGGTAAGCAGCTGGGGCCAACGTATTTCGAATGGGGCTGTAGGGTTTGGAAGGCGGCCACCGTTCCCTTCATTCGGTTTTTAAGTTTGTAGACCTTTCTGGATTCTTCTTTGGCTCTCCACTAACTCTCGGGCAAAGAAATGGAAGCTACTTCTGAGGAAATAAGTTTGAGATTGGGATATAAATTTGCACACCTGGTCAGATAAACCAGCATGGCATATGCGCAGCTGATGGACACCCTGTGAAAAGGAGAGGGAGCGGGAATTGGGAATAAAACCGACTGAAAAAAATTGCAGGCTAAACGTAATTACATAAGATTAAGTAAATGTCACTCAATTTAACGGGGCTTGCTTCTTTGTAAACTTGGCACACACGGCTATGCTAATCTGGTTGAAGAATGCTTAATAGTTATCTATTAATATTCAGAGGAAAGCCTTCGTTCATTTCTGTCTAACTTTCATGTATTTAAACTGAGATCACAGTTTCATTTGGTTTTTAATCCTGTTTTTACCTTGTTTTAATTCGATGCTACAGTAAAATTCGCTGTACTTTAAAGCGGCATACAAAGCTGTACAAAGCTAAAAGGTTTTCAGGCTTTGCCCCAAAACCATTTCCTAAAATCACTAAGATTTATTATTTCAGAGCGTACTGCAGCATAGCTTCGAAACCCCAAAACATACTGACTTTGCATCCTAAGATACTAATCCTATGAAGTAAGGCTCCCCTCACACCCTGTTCAATTTACTTCCTAGTTGCAAGAATGCTTCAACTGTACTAAAGTTCTGCAAATGGCGGTGAAGTGTCTTTTAATTCACTGGGATCTGTTTTTCATGCCTGTGTTCAGAATTTAGAGGGAAAATGCTGACATCTCTGGACAAATTTACTCCAGAGCAAATATAGAATAAGGGAGAGAGGAGAGATGCCTCACTTGCTGCCCAGATCCTTAGCCATCACCTTGCCCGTCTGTCTATAATTCCTGTAAAGTGAATGTGCATTTTCCTTTACTCTGTGTTTAGAATTGGGGAGGGTCCAGCTGCATTTGACCCCCCCCCCCAAGTTGCCAAACTAAACAGAGAATGGCAGAATCTCTCCTCTCCCCGCCACGTCCCTTTTGGGAACCCACTACCCTGTTTGGAGGGGGCTGGAGGGTTTGCTTCTGGCTAAGAATTCAGAACTCTTGGAAATTTATCAACAATATAAATTTCACCCCACTTCAGCCATTGGGGTGGTATAGAAGAAAATAAATATGTTATTACTTTTAACAGTCTGCAAATGCGATTGAGAATATCATCTCCTTTTGCTCCTCCCTTCTCTCTCTCTCTCTCTCTCTCTCTCTCTCTCTCTCTCTCTCTCTCCCTCTCCCTCTCCCTCTCCCTCTCCCCCCCCCCAGGCTATGAAGGCACTGGGTCAGTCCTTATGTCTCCTGTGCCCCACCAAATACTGCCCTATATGAATGTGGGAACCCTGTCCCGGACAGAGCTGCAGCTGCTGAACCAACTGCACTGCCGGAGGAAAAGAAGACACCGGACCATCTTCACAGATGAACAGCTGGAGGCTTTGGAAAACCTTTTCCAGGAAACCAAATACCCAGACGTCGGTACCCGGGAGCAGCTAGCCAGGAGGGTACATTTACGGGAGGAAAAGGTGGAGGTAACTTGACAGTTCTTTTAAAACTTCTTCATAGAATCATAATTGGTAGAGTTGGGCCCAATGCCCTGCTGCAGCAGGTCCCCAGTTTACACCATCCCACTCAGATGGCTGTCCAGTTTCACTTTGAATGTCTCTAGTGTGGGAGAGCCCACCACCCCTCCAGGCAGTTGGTTCCACTGTTGTATTGCTGTGACAGTGAGGAAACTTTTCCTGCTATCTAGCTTGAACCTGGGTTGAGCTGATTATTCCGTGTCCTACACTCTGGTATCAGTGAGAAGAGATCTTGACATTCATTTGTGACAGCCATTGAAGTATTAATGGAGTGATTTCATGTCCTTCCTCTCCAGTCTTCTCTTTTCAACTCGGAACATGCCCATTCTCTCAGTCTCAACTCACAGGGCAGTGTTTCCAAACCATGGATCATTTTTGTTGCCCTCCTCTGGACCTTTCTAATTTTTTGCATCTTTCTTAAATCTTGGTGGCCAGAACTTGTCACAGTATTCTAGATGAGGTCTGATTAGTGAGGTGTATAAGGGAACTACTACTTCTCTTGATTTTGAAGTAATACTTCTATCAATGCATCCCAAAATAGGATTTGCCCTTTTGTGGCTGTATTGTATTGCTGGCTCATATTTAGCCTGTTGTCCTCAGTATCTCCGAGATCTTTTTCCTTTTCAGTTTTGTTGAGCCACATATTCCCCATCTTGTATCAATGCATTTGGTTTTTTTCATAGCTGGAGGACTTGGCATCTGTCCCTACTGAATCTTGAAAAACAAAAGCAAGAGATCTGGTACAGTGCAGTGGCAAAAGTTACTGTTTCTAAACCCATCTTCCCCAATCCTGGTGCGCTTGAGCTACAACTCCTGGCATGCCTGACTATTGGCCGGGGTGGATGGGAATAGAAATCTAAAATACAGAGAAGGCACCGGTTTCAGAGAAGGCTCTTCTAAGCTATTACCCAAGGGCTGGGGCAGCGAGGAGAAGAAGCCATTCTTAGATTCCTGGGGGAGGAAGAAAATGTGGGTTCTTAGTGGACTGTTAAGCAAACCTGCATTTTCTACAGGTTTGGAAGTCCTCTGCTCAAGCCTATGAATATTTAGACAGGAAAAAGGTCCTGGAACTTCCAGTAGTTTTTATATATAGCTTCCATATAGCCTGAGGTGCCTGATCCCATCTAATCCTGTAAACTAAGCAGGGTTGGGCTGGATTGAAATTGGGATGAGTGAGTTGAGTCCTCCATTGAGCAAGTGCTTGGACTCGATGGCCTGCTCCGGCCCTTCCAACCAGACATGCTATGATGTCTCGGCCAGCAGAAGAAGCCTGGCAATGCTGGCTGGGGAATGTTGGGAATTCTAGGGCTTTTTTTCTGTCCAAGCATCCCATAGGATTGTGCCTTAATGCTAGTAGGACCATGGCAGTTCCTTGACTGAGAACACTCCTAGGTGAATGCGATGGGGTTTCAGTGAAGTGCAATTGTAAGCAGTGGTGTGTCGGAGCGTAACTTCAGTCGCTAAGGATTCAACTCCGCCACTTTTGCATTTTGGCAAACCACAGCTTCGATCTCACCACTTCCCAGGTAAATCGTGGTTTGCTCACACATAAATGATGTTAACAGATTCCCCCATACCCATTCCCATGGGGGGAAGCCCCATTACCCCAGCCAAGAGTTACTTCTGATTAAGATACACCTAGGATCATGCCACATTAGCGTTGTTTGATCTGTTTGGAAGGGGCACTTCACATCACTGCCCTCAGTTCAATTTTAAGAGAACCGAATTCAGCTCAGGAACCTTCTGCTGTCCTCAGAGGCTTGCGGAGCAGCCTGCAAATCCTCTTCTGTCTCGTTGGATTCCCGGGAGGACAGCAACCGGGGTGCAGTCATGGGCATGACTCGAAAGGAGAAACCTGTATAGGACGCGTGCAACTACATTCGCTTCTCAAGGTTTCCTCAGTGCCCAGCGCTGTGCCGGGCTGTGGACAAGAGCGGGGCGGGCGATCCTGGCAGGTGCAGGCACCGGGTCCTACGTGCGCCGCTGGTGCAGCTGAGTTCTGCAGCCTTCGCCCTGAGGTGGGGATGCATCTCGCCCTGGCCACAATGTTGGTGCAGGCTATTCTTGGTTCAGGACAAAAAGCTGGAGGTGTGTGAGCTCCATTCCCATCGCTTCTGCAGCTCAGTGCCACGTGTGAGCCCCACTTCACAGCCGCTCGCTTTTCAGGCTTTGGGGATGTCTCTCCTCCCCAAGCAATGTTTGCATTTTTTTCAGATTTCAAACTGCGTAACCCCCTTGTCAAATTTGCATGGCACCTGGGATGCTCTGCACCCCACACTCCGTGCCTCAGGTATTTTAATATTCGAGAGCTGCCACACGATTCCAACCAGCTATTTGCCATCACTCCACTCGAGTCTTGCGAGGCCGGCATGGCGATCCTGCGTGCAGGATCAGTGCTTTCCCTTCCCCGGAGGAAGCAACTGCCAGCAGCTGCCGAAGCGCGGGGGTGCCATTTGTCCCAAACAGGAGTCTCCTTATGCTGGGGATGTGAGGAGAGCACGTTCACACGTACTTTGCTGGATCTTGGCACACTTGGAGGTCAAGGTGCGAACCACCTCCAGCGTGTGGTTGGGAAGAAGGGTGGGTGCATGGGTCTGTAGCCCCCAGGGGTAGGATCGGGAAGTGGTCCTCCATCTGCGGTGGTTCATTCCCATGCATGCACCGGCACTGCTCCGTGCTGCAGGCGTCGGGCGATGCATCCTCCGCATGCAGAATTCTCACACCATCCCTTGATTTCCCTGGATGGCAGGTCTGGTTCAAGAACCGCCGGGCTAAATGGAGGAGACAGAAGAGATCCTCTTCCGAGGAGTCGGAGAACGCCCAGAAATGGAACAAGGCTTCCAAAGCATCCCCAGAGAAAAGGCAAGAAGAAAGCAAAAGTGACCTGGACTCCGACAGCTGATACCCTTTCCCAGGGGATGCTGCCTGCCAGCCGGCCTTGCCGGAGGGACGGATTATGGATCTGGAGGACTTGCACGGAGAGGACGCTTAAAGCTCTTGCACAGACTCTGCCTCTGTGGGAGGAAGGCAGGAAGGAGGGACTGTCTCTAGCTGTATATAATGCGAAAGGCCCCGGGAGCGATCCCTTTTAAATAAATAAATAAAGGATGGGTTGCGGCGGTGTTGCACAACAGGCGGAAGTTGGTCACACGCGTTTTATTTGGGTGTTCCTGGCTGGCCCTTTCCAAAAAGCCAAAAGAAAGTATATGCGAGGAGTGGGGCGTACTGGCCCGGGGGTGGGGGTGGGCACAGCTCTTACAAAAACAAAACTACTAGCCCTTACCTGGGAGTAAATCTCACTGAACTTGGTAGTTTATGTCTGAGTAGGACTCCGCTGTGAACTCCGCTTATGTGTGAGTAGGACTCCGCTTTTGGCAGGTTAGCAGCAGGGCTGGTGCGTGGGAGAAGAATGTAAATTATGGATCCAAGGTATGTTGCAATGCATCGTGCATTTCCAGTTTCACTTTGGAAGAAAGATACTCATTCTGTACAGCAAGGGAAACGGTACAGTTATAAATTTATGTATGTTTACCTGTGAACTTGGTGGGATTCACTTCTGAGGAACGGTGCAGGCAATCAGGCTGTGGGTTTCTGTTTGAGAAGGTGGGTGCAAGATCCGTCCTTTCCTATATTGTGATTCTAAAACATCGTAAGCTGAACAGTTAGCATGGAACTTATTCCTCAGTCACTGTACAAAGGACTGAAGCCTTATAGAAATTATCCAAATACAGAGAGGACTTTAATTACAGACTAACCAAAATCAAATCCACCGTAATTTGAAACCAATGAAGTATGCATTTTTGTGTCTGGAGCAAAACTCTGCATCTGAAGTGATGTGTGTATCAGGACTCTAAAATCTGAAGTGACCTTGGTCAGAGCCCTTTAATAATCGATCTGCAAAACTGATTCTACGCCCCTCCCCTCCCCTCCCTGCATAAATTCTCCCTTCCCTTTCCTAAGAGCCACTCGGATTGCAAAGAATGTATCTGTAGGACCTCAGACTTACATCCCTTTAGAAAGAAAAGCAAAGGGGATGAAGTCACTTCAGAGAAAATTTGAAATGAAGCTGAAGACCGGATTTTTAATTTCAAAATGATAGATTTTAAAAGTAATATTTGCTCTTTTGCAGCATCTAATGACGGCTCCTTTAGGTTTTCTTGCAAGCCCATTGAAAGCTTACCGTACTTTTGAAAAGTTGTGCTTAGTTAATGGCAAACATTTATACCATCAGTAAAAGGGGAGTATAGAGGAGAACAGTTGCTGGCAGGTACTGTTAAGGAATCGTTAGTTCACTGGGAAACCACATTATCTCCCAGTTTTTTCAGATTATAATATCAGAAAAAAAATTGCTCTGAAATCCAAAGCTAGATCAAGTTTCCCTGAAGTGCCAGGTCGGCAGCTGTATGACCCTACAACGTACCGTGTACATAACCTTATGCTTCTCCTATTCAATGATCTTGAACATACTTTTTCCATTCCTTTGCACAGGTGTGATTAAAAGGGTGATACATTTTTTGTCTCGCCTTCAGTGCAGCCTCCAGGTTGCGATCCTGGTGAGCAGCAACTGGGGAGTAATTTAGTCAAACAGATTGGGTGTCTGTTATTTTGTCTGAACGAAACTTTCCACCCTGCAGGGATTGGCCTTTAATCCTTAAGTCTGAGAAAACTGGAAGAGAAAGTTCTTCAGGCTGAGCAGAGAGATGGCTGCAAGGCTGCAATCCTCACTTACGTGGGAGCAAGCCAAATGGGACGCAAGGTGACTTACTTCTGAGTAGTTTCAGTGTACATGTACACTAGAGCCGGATCCCTGTGTTCACAAACACTGGCCCGTGAACCAAAAGTATTGACTATCTGTTGAAATTGATTGGACTTCTCTGGATAATGGACGTTTGCTCCTTTTTAACTTTTCCATTGATCTGGAACATTTTTATCTACTGCAAAGGCATTTTATGCCTACAATCCTATGTTCACTTCTACTCAAATTGATAGGATATGCTTCTGAGATAGTATCCCATTGATCTTACTTAGAGAGCTTACTTGAGCTTACCAGTTGATGTTTCATGGGGACAGTGTTCACAGATTATTCCAAGAAACACAAGCATGTCTTGAAAGTCCGCTTGAGAGCCAATGCAGCTTTCTTCTTCCTTCCTCACTGCCCCTTCTGATAGGCTTGGGATCAGGGGGCCCAGATGCCTGCCCCAGCTGGCTCCTGCCGCACACCCACACCTCCCATGAACAGGGGGAGACCACGCTGCTCAGCCTGGTTCTTGGTCCCTCCTCGCCGGCTGGGCTGGAGAAGGGAAGATGGGCCTCCTTAGACTCTGCTCTGCAGAATCCCAGGATGTCCTTGACCCCACGCTGTTAATGCTTACTGTTTGCATGAATAGAAGCTGCAAGAGATGACTGCTGCATCCCAGCGCATGCTCAGAAGGTATGCGATCCCGCTAAAAGTGAAGCGGTTGGAGGGAGACCACTTGCAACCCGCATGTGGCCACCCTGAGTTCTCTGATGCAAGAAAGATGGGGCAGAGATGTAATATTGTCTGCATATACACATGCAGCCACACCCAATCCCATTATTGCCTGGAATGGGTTGAAAGCGAGCAGGGAACAGAACGTCCCCATCATCTCCCCACCTGCTGTGCTGTGCTGCTTGAAAACGGCTTGCCCAAGAAATAAATCTCATTGGCAAAAGATCACGGAGAGCTGCCTGTTGCTCTATCTAGTCCACATTCCCCGCACCAATGGGCAGGGACCTTTCAGGCAGGGCAACTTCCCAGGCCATCCTGGAGGTGCCAAGGATGGTATCCAGAACCTTTGGCATGCAAAGTGTGGCCGCTTCCCGTGTGCCACAGTCCCATCCCATCACATCTAGGAAGCATGCACAGCATTGGGAATACTCCTCCTGAATCCATGATCTGAGCAGAACTTCATTCTTAGCAGGTTCAGATGAAGTTGGGTGAGTGCCCTGCCGATGACTGTGAAGCCGCCCTATGCAGACGTTCAGCCCAGTAGCCAGCAGCATGGCAGGGCCTGGGAGTGAACTTAGAGTTTTTCCCCTCCTAATATTGCTACAGCCTGTGAACTGGTCTTTAATTCAAAGACCTGCAAAGCTAAGGAGCTCCCCTATCTGCCCCCCACCCAATTCTGAGCTGGCCACAGGCCCACTGTCCTTACGTCAGATCCATCCGTTTTATTGTAGTTTAGGTTTCCCCCATTCCTCCTCCTCCTCCTCTCCTTGCATCGTGCCTCCCCGAGATTCACACCTCCAGGAAAAGAGCCTTGTGTCCCGCTCACCTGGCAAGGCTCAGTGTGGACTGGAGCCAAGATCCTGTCTGGCAGCCCCCCGACTCGGGGCCAGGCTGCTCGCGAGCCCTTGGGGAAGGCGTCACATTTGCGTAGGCACGTCAGAATGGCTTGGTGGCGGTGGCTGCGTGAGGACAACCAGCTAGCCATCTGCAAGAAGCCACCAGGCAAATGCTTCTACACATTGTCCCTTAAATGGCTTTAGCAGTCACCTGCAAATCTTTGCTGGCCTCATGGTGGTATAGCAAAGCCTTTGTCAGCCTGGTACCTTTCAGATGTGTTGGACAGGGCTGGCTGGAGGAGGTTGCGAGCTGTAATTTGGAACATTTAGAGGGCACTAGCTTGCATTGCTCTGTGCGTGTGCATTGCTCTGTGTGTGTTTATATAGCACTTTATTACATTTATACACTATTTTTCCTTTTGCAAGGAGGGATCCTCCTGCCCTCTCTTTTATACTCACACCAAGGCTAGGCTTTCACTGAGCTCCATGGCTGAGTGGAGATTAGAACCCGGATCACCTGGCTCTCATTCAGCATTCCAACTGCTACCCCATTCTCGCTCCAGTGGAATACTTTTATCAGGGCAACTCAAAGATCACAAAAATCTATGAGCTTGCAGGCTCTCCAGAGGCAACAAAGGAATTTTGGAAGTTTCCTTGCAGCACATTCTTTGTTTTTCTGGAATTCATCATGGCAGCCCTCATAGCCAAATTCACCTAGGGTTATCATCCTACTTTTCTATTACATATACCTAAAGCAACTAGCCTTCTGGGTAAAAATGCCATATCAGATAGGGCATATCTGTTAACACAGATATTTATACCAAACAAGCAGCCTGCTAGTTAAACCTGACAACCAAGTTTATGGGGTGTGACTTCAGTCCTAAGTGGGAGTAAGCCGTTCCCAGGTGTGATCTCCACAGAACTCACGGAACTTACTTCTGACAGTACAGGTTCAAATTCTAAACAGACTGAGCTTTAACAAAAGCTCTCCAACAAGCTGAAATGCAGCCTTTAGCCTTAAGTTAGCAACACCAGTTATCTTGCAAAGAAATGCCACCATTTACACTGGAAGTGGGAACTCCAAGTAGCAAAGGGAAAGTATACAACCTCTCTGCTTTGTGGCTTCACTCATTCTCTGACTTACTCTGTGCTAATCCATCATCAACAAAAGTAACACTGGGAGCACTGTCATAATTTCCTTTTGCTTCAAGGAAGGGCCTAGTTCCATGAATGCTCTCGCAGCCAATGCCAGCACTGCTACTCAGGGGAGAGAGAGAGAGAGATCTGGAGCTGCTCCTCCTTACATTCTCTCTCTAGTACATTTCTGAGTGCAAGCACTGTAGGTGTTCTCTCTTCATGCCAGGATCCACAGAGAGGTGATAACGGTTTCTGGGCCAAGATGTACATTTTCAAGCCAAGCAAATCCAATCACAGGTGAAGCAAAAAGCCCAGACAGGTTGACAACTGATGCCTCGGTTTGCTCTTTGTTGCATGTATCTGGGTTTGTTTATTTATTTTCTTACCCTGCCTTTTAAGCAAAAAATGGGCTTAAGTAAAAACAGCTTACATTAAATAGACAAAATGTATAAAACTCATGAATATTCAACAAAAAGGTCCAATGGCAGAATCAATAGCATTTGACCTCATTGTAGGGTCAAAGGCCTTCTTGAATAAAGTGGCTTGGACTTGTTGGGACACCTGAAAGAGGAAGCAAACCTGGTTTAGAGGGAGTTTCACAGGTGGGAGTGGACACTGGAAAGCCTCTTTCGAAGGT